CAGATAAAGTGGTACCAAATAGACTAATTAGCAGTCCTAAGGATATATTATAGAGGGCATATGAATTGGGTAGTAAAAAAGTTGAGGCATACGAATTGGATGGTAAATACTCTAAATTCTCCTAAACCGGAGAGATGTTGGCGGTTTATTTTAACTTTAATGCATTTTTTTCCTATTCGATCATCGGAGATGCCACCATGATTAGATCTAACACGCCAGAATAGAGAGCCAACGTAAAAGATACTCCCTATGTCCCATAATATAAGGGTGTGTTTGGGTCACAGTCATACATGGATGAGATATGGCCATCTATACTTTGTTGGATATGCCAATCTAATTTTTTGTTTGGTTTGTATAGATATGGCGATCCAATTTCTTGGTTGGAGGGATATAACATGGATGGGAAAAGCCAAAAGTTAGTGAGACCAATTTGTCATATATATTTTTTTATCAAAATATAATCATTCGAGATCTTGTTTTAAAGATTTAATTATAACAAATATAATGGTGTAATCAAATCATAAATTGAATAAACGGTTTAGGAGAAAAAAAATCATTTAGAGCTTGCTTAACAAGAAATTAAACCAACCACAACCAATCAGAATATGACACATCACCCAGACCAAAACTGAGTAGCTTCATCCAGCCAAATCGATCGGATGCACTCATCCAGCATATCGAGGGAATATTTCATATTGCAGGTCGCCCCATCCATCATGCCCTCCAATCAAACAACACGAAAAATCGGGCGGCCATCTCCCATTCAGGCTCATCCACCCAATCGAACACACCCTAAGAGCTTCTGGGTGAATGTGACATATCCTAGTACTATAAATGATTTTAGGTGGATGCGACATATTAATATGAATGATTTTGAGTGGATGTGACATATCCTAGTACTTCACCAAAATCCCATATATTATGCAACAGGTATACGTAGTACTCCATCCGTTTCACAATGTAAGTCATTCTATCATTTTTCACATTTATATTGATGTTAATGAATCTTTATTAACATTAACTAGGAAGGAAGCCCGCGCAGATGCGCGGGCAATTTATTTTTTGTTTATAAAAACTACCGAAAAAAGTCATATATCATCATAAAGAAGCACATATTACCTCATAACTTTACCGTAAAAGAAGGAAATATTTATACCATGAAATAGGCCATAGATTTTGATATACTAAATGATAATGTCTATCATATTCAAACAAAAATCACATTATTTCAGTTATATGTAAACTTACCTATCATCATCCTTTGCAAACATAATATGAGTTTTGATCTTTTTTCTTTTATTATACATCAGTTTTGATCTTTTTTCTTTTATTATACATCTAATTCACCTATACATGTTCATGGGTATATACAAAGGAATACTCTATATTGTCAAAATTATTTGTACTAATTGTTAACACAATTTATATGAGAACGACATAATTAAAAAGATAAAATATGGTTCCATATGACATTTTTGATTGTATGTATGTTTTTTTTTTTGCAAATGGTAATCTCTTGTATGTACGTGCTTTTTTATGTTTTTTTGACAAATATTTTTCTCTCATATGAGGTATGGTGTGCGTATGTGCATTCATAGGGTGGGTGTGCACACGTTTATATGTCTGCCTATAATTGCCTTTTGAATTGTTAGTTAAAAAATATTTTCAAGAAAATTGGTGAGGGTGGCATGAAGCAGCGCCATGGCAGCGTGACTTATTCGTCAACCTTGCAAATAGCGGTCGATACATATATGCATAATTTGAGGAAAACCTTAGGGCTACAAAGAAAGAAACAAAAAACTACCAAACAGGGTGGACCATATATGCACTCTTCTTTTTTGATTTTGATATCTCCGGTGTATGTGCGTGCATAGAGAGGGATTAGCTGGTTTTTAGGAGCGAGGGCTTACGTGAATATATCTAATTTAATGGTTGAAAATAATGGATTCACCGGTTTAAATGCAAATCGATGGCTAGATGTTTTTTTCCCTTATATTTTTTCTTAAATTTTCTCCTATTTATTAGAGCATCACATGGTATCTCACAAGTGTTTGTAGGAGTATAGGAACGCTATTACTTATACTCATAATCTACTTGTAGTCAACTATCGTTTCTTATGATTTTGTGGCATCCTCTATTTACCTATCATTTTTTATTAATGGTTGCCCACATAGTATCATCATTTATCTTTGGTGCTTGATGACACACGTGCTTATTGGATGTCAACTAATTATTAGGTGCATTGTGCATTGATGTATCATAAGCAATATAACTTGATGATTAGTGACATGGGTTTGTATATAGAGCTTATTACGTAGGATTTAGCGGGGACATATGATTGATATATTATAATATTATTGATTCAAAAAGTATATTTTGTACCACATATTTACTTTTAGTACATAAGTAATAAATTTATGGTTATGTTCTAAAGTGCTTATTGGATTGGCTACTCCGTTATTTGTCATGACCATGCTTACCGAATTGCTAAATGGTGTGTACTTTAAAAAATAATTTTTATTATATAAGTTTTCTAAAAAACAAATAAATCTATTTTCAAATTTTTAGTATTAAATACTCGATTAATCTTGTGCTAATGACTTATGTCGTTTCGCGTGCCCTGGATAAACTAATTCAATGAGCTAGATCGAACGAAGTCAAAGCCCTGGATTAGGTGTTGATATGGTGTCAAATGAATATATTTGATCTTCAGCTTTCTAATAATATATGAATAGAGTAAAAACATAATACATGAAAATATATTTATGATAAATTTAGTAATATCCTTTTGCCATATCAGTATTTTTTACAATAGGGAGTGAGTAATTTTTGAAAATTCTACACACAGTTGAAGTTGTTTTTATTTTGGAAATTGTAAGTCTAATTTAATTATAACATAATCTATACTTTTAATTTATTTATATTTTTTATGGATGTTTCGATGACATGCGCCTAATTTGAATACAATTCAAAATAGCATATATTTTTACAACTTAAAGCATAGTTAATATTTTTTTTAGTTATTAGTTTGGTTCCATCTAATCTAAATGAGAAGAAAAAAAAGGAAAAATAAGCATGCGGGACCCGGCGCGTGTATGTACCGTACATATGTACATATTTTTTCTTAAGCAGGAATACCTGTGTACGTAGGTATGTACTTTTCTTAAGGAGGAATACCAACGTATCTAATGCATGTATATTGTCCGGTAGTGGCATTACGATGTGGGAGTAATTTTTAAGATAGATCTAATGGTTGAAAATAAAAGATCCACCAGATCATATAAAAACCGATGGTCGGATGTTTTTTTTTTACAATTTCTATGATTTATTAGAGCACCACATAGCGGTTTAAAAGCGTTTATAGGGTACTATGTGGCGGATTAGAAGCGTTTGTAGGAAGTTTATCCTCTTGATTACTTTTTCTCCCTTTTTCTCTTTATGAAAATATTTACAACAATAATTTTTAAATAACCACATCCTTCTAAATTATGTATTTTTAAATAACCACATCCTTCTAAATTATGTATATTTATTTGTGACAATATATTTTTTATCGTCATAATTTTTAACTTTTAAATCATACGTTCATTTCTTTTATCTATTTGGATCATTGTGTTATTTATGATAAAAATCACAATTAGAATTTATGACATATGTTTTCTACTTCACTCGTAAAATGTATATTCTTCTAAGTTCTATTTACTATCCTTTGCATGTTATTCAAACATATATGAAAAAGAAAGTGATTATATATTATTTCATCATGTACCATTTCACTGCGCTGGCATGCATAAATAAAATAGAAAGTGCTATATATTGTTCGATCGACTTTTTAAAGCCTCACCTATAAGAAGAATGCCCGCGTAGCTGAAAACATATATTTTTACATCATATATTTTTTATTGTAGCGTAGCTGAAAACATATATTTTTACATCATGTATGTTATTGTACATTTTTTTACCATATTTGTGGATTAATAAATTTTGTTTTTCTACAATAAAAAATACTATTTTAAAAAACCATCTATTTTTTTCTACCCATGTACATATATTTTTTTAGTCTTAATTATAGCTTTTCTTTTTACTTGCATATATACGTCCGTATTTTTTTAAAGTAAACAGGGCCTTTTAATAGTTTTCTATCGTAGATACGTTTTTTAAATGAACAGTACCTCTTTTTTTCTTTCTTTTTTTTTTTGCAACTGTGAGTACTTACGTCAGATTTTCCTTCCTTTTCCATTGTACGTACTTAACTGGGATTTCCCGGTATAAACGATTTCACTGGTATACACATGATATTAAGAGGAAGCAAATATATCTAATCTAACGGTGTAAATAACGGGTCCACCAATTTAAAAGAAAATCAACGGTGAGATTATAAAATGCCACGTGGCAATCTAAGAGCGTTTGTAGGAACACCATATGGCGGCTTAGGAGTGTTTGTAGGAAGTTTAATAGACTTTTAGTATATAATAGATAGATATGAATGTGGGAAATGCTAAAATGACTTACATTGTGAAATAGAGGAAGCAGTAGATATGATATGCGGCTAGACATGTTTAATTAGGTTGTGACCAGTACGGATCAAGTTTTTATCTACAAATCAATAGCTAATGTTGGATCTGATGGACGAGGAATAACCGAATAACCTATTTTGAATAAGTTATCATACAGGCCCACATGAAGAACAATATGTTTTCTGAAAGAACTTAAATATCTATTTCCCATCGCAACTTCGCAAGCCAAGGTACGGTACTTTGTCCGCCTTATGCAGTCCATTTAACTACCCACGCAGTTTTTCTTAACAAATCAATCGCAAACTCTAATTAACTGAAAAAAAAGAGAAAAATTCTCACTTTGCTTTTTTTGGGAATTTTCTAATTATCTAATGTTTGAGAAAAAAAAAGAATTTAGCGTGCAGTCCATTTAAATACCCACGCAGTTTCTCATTAGAAGAACAGTTTTTCTTTTTTTTTTTTTTTGGAAATTATCTTTGAGAATAAAAAAGAGAAAACAGTTTTTTTTTTGGGACGGATAGAAGTAGACATTAGCGTTAAGACTCGAGCAATTTCCAAAAACAATGATACTATACTTCTGTTGACTAAGATTTCGTCGGGTCAACGACATGCCCCGCGAAGAGTACCGCGCCCGACGATTCCTCCACCACAAAGAAGGCGAACGGATGGTCGGCGACGAAGTCCTCCCTTGGCGGCGGCGGCGGCGCATACCGCGCCGCACCTTCCATTAACACTGCCGTGGCCGCCGCCGCCTCGGTGCCCTCCTCGTTCACCTCGATCACGGCCTTGTGCAGGACGTCCGACACGCGCAGCGGCTCGCCCTCGATCATGTCCGGCAGCTCGGCCCGATCGAACACGGCGTTCACCCCGACACCCCGGAGCGCGCGCACGACGCTGCGGCTGAAGGAGAGCTTGAACCTGGGGATCCTGAACTCGCCGACCTCGACGCGTCGCACCGGCATGTGCTCGCTGAGGAAGCCCTCGCCGCCGCCGCCGCCACCGGCCGCCGCCATCCTGTCCTCGAGGCTGGACAGGCCGTCGCGCTCGTCGGGGAGGAGGATGTACATGGAGTAGTACCGCGGCGAGGGTTGTGGCGCCGCGTGGTCGTGGGCGTACGGCATCTTGAGCACCTTGAACCCGTCGTGCGCCGCGATGTACTGGTCCTCGCCGGTGCGCATGAAGTCCGCGTCGACGGTGCCGTGGCCGTCGAGGAGGTGGAACTTGTCCTTCTTGGTGTCCTGCTTTCGGAATGGCGTCTGCCATGTGCCGTTGAAGTAGATGGCGCTGGTGACCACGAGACCCGTGTCCGTGCTCACCGACCCCGGCGGGAGGATCGTGTCGATGAGGTTCTCCGTCGCGGCCGCAACCCAGCTGTTGATCTCCTTCCTCGCTTCTTCCGGCTGCATGGAGGATTGATCGAGAGGAGATCAATGGCGGGTGGGTTAGTGACATTAGATTGACATAGATTGCGTCACAATGTTATTGGCTTACGTTGGCGAGGAAGTCGACGGCGCGGGTTGCGGCGTTGAAGGAGGCGGCGGCGGCGTCCCGGAACGCCAGCTTGAGCGACCTCGTCCGCTCGTGCCAGAGGCCGCACGCGTGCGCGACGCGGGGCCCGCCCGTCGCCGTGCCGCCGGCGAGGGCGCGCGCGATCTCGGCGGCGTTCTTGGCGAGCGCGTCGCGGGACGGCGCGCCGAGGGCGGCGAGCAGCTCGGTCAGGGTGGTGCCCCGCGCGCCGGCGGTGACCACGGAGAGCGCGGAGTAGATGGACAGCGGCGAGAAGACGAGGTTGCCGCCGCCGCCGCCGCCGTCCTCCTCCGCGGAGAACTGCTCGGCGAGGCGCAGCGATATCCCCATCAGGCCGGAGGCGGCGCACCGCCGCGAACACGCCTCCGTGGTCGAACTGTTCCCGTCCTTTCGTCCGCCGCTCGTCGGAGAGTCCGATTCCGGTCGCCACCACCTGCCCCGACGGCTCGCGATCTCCCCGAGACGAAGCAGCAACGAGCGAGGCGAGAGGAGGAATCGAGCGGAGGAGGAGGAGGAGGATCCAATTCCAGGAGAGGCTAGACAGATCAGAAACGAGGAGATTAACGCCATGAAAACAACGAACAAATCGATCCAATTCCAGAGAGAAGAAAGAAACAAAGGGGGAAAAGATAAAAGCCGTACAGGGGAAGCGGAGGTCGAGCGGGTGGTCGTCGCGGAAGAGCTCGCCGCCGGCGAGCACAAGCACCGCGAGCACGTAGACGAGGAACAACACCACGAAACCCTGGATCGCGCAGCACCGGCGGCGCGGCGGCGGCGGGCTCCCCATTGGACGGCGACGGCCGCGGCAGCAAACCTGGCGGCCGGAGACGGAAAACCCTAACCCTAGAGGAAGCGCGCGCGCGACGGGCACAGCCGGAGCGGAGCCGCGGGTGGACGGCCGGCCGGCCGCGCGGAGGTCGGAGGAGACGCGGAGGCGGCCAGGCGAACCAACGCGATGGGTGAAGGACGGGATTGGTTTCTAGTCCCTCGAGCAGATATCCCCTCGTATATCTTTTTCTTTCAAACTCGATGTAAATAGTTGTGAAAAATTCTAAAAAAAATAATAATGTAGAGTATAATGATACCTACTAGTCTACCAAAATTTAAGTTCAAATTCGATCTACACATTGAGAAACAAAAAAGACAAATTTAGATATAAACAGTACACTACTATTCATACGCTGAATTTGTCTTTTTTATATCTCGACGTGTGAGTTGAGTTTGGACTTATGATTTTGTGGAGTTATATACATGTGTTGTATGAATGTTGTCAAATTTTTCCAGAATTTTTCATAACCATTTAGATGATTTTTAAGCAAACGAGAGGATATTCCCTTGAGGGATCAGGATAGTTTCCCGGTGAAGGACACTAGTAGTAGTAGAGGAATTGAGGGGCGAGTGAAGTGTGGCTAGCCAGCTGGGTGGGGTGGGCTGGCGTGGACCGTGGACACGGTGTATATGCTCTCCTGTCCCGTGCAACGAGAGCCTTCAAGGCTAAGGTAATGACAGTTGGAGCACGGACAGTGTCCACGGCGATAAACGCGTGGATAGGTTGGTGACTGCTGTTTCCGTGAGGTATGGGCAGCACTCTAGATTGGCCAAATGGGCATGGCCCGGCCCCGGCCCAGGCACGACTAAAGCACGGTCCGAGATCAGTCGGGCCGGTATGGTCCGACCAACACGCCGTGTCGTGTCGTGCTCGTTCATGGGATGTACCTATGGCCTAGGCAATGCTAAAAAAGACTCCGATTGTACCGTGCCACCCCTTGAAGGCGCGATCAGTCCACCGTGTTCTTCCTTGGAATAAGTTTATTTTAACTCTCTTATCTCTTTGGGTCGTGTCTTGAATGGCTCAAATAAGTCTATTTTGTTTCCCTCATCTCTTTGGGCTGGTCGTCGATTGATTACGGCACGTCGGAGCGTTGGGCAGGGTTGACACGTCGTACGAGGAAGAGCCCAAGGCATGGTCTAACGGTCGGGTCGGGCCATGCTGTGTCTGTGTCAGACCAAATCTTCATGCCTTGGGTCAGGCCGTCGAGTTGTAGGCCTTTTGGCCAACTATAAGCCTGACCCTTATGCGGTGGGGCCACACCCTGTTGACCTATCTACTCAACATCGAAGGCTGCGTTCTTTTGGAAAGGTCGGGAACCCCTCCCCTCTGTACGGAAAACAGAGCGATAGATTAACATGTGATTAATTAAGTATTAGCTATAAAAATTTGAAAAATGGATTAATATGATTTTTAAAGCAACTTTCTTATATAAACTTTTTACAAATGTGTAATGTTTAGCGGTTTGAAAAGCGTGCATGCAGAAAACGAGGGAGGTGGGTTGGGAACCCATGAGGAAGAACACAGCCTAAGGGTGTGTTCGGCAACCCCTTTTTCCACCCATCTCCCTCGTTTTTCGCGCGCACGCTTTTCAAGCTGTTAACCAGTGTGTTTTTTTTCAAAAAGTTTCTATAAAGTTGATTAAAAAAATCAAATTAATCCATTTTTCTAAAAAAATTAGTGAATATTTAATTAATCACGCGCTAATGGACCGCTCCATTTTTCGTGAGTACTATTTTGGGTGGGAACTGGAAATGGCGAACACAGCGTGTGTTCGGGAGGGCTGGTTCACAGCTCCCTCCGCCTTGTTTTCCGCGCGCACGCTTCCTAAACTGCTATATGATGTGTTTTTTTGCAAAGTTTCTATACAAAAGTTGCTTAAAAAATCATATTGTTCCATTTTGAAAAAAAATTAGCTAATACTTAATTAATCATGCACTAATGGATCGCTCCGTTTTCCGTGTGCGCACTGCGCTGGTTGGGAACTAGCTCCAGCGAACACACCGCCGCTCCCTGCCACATCGCCGGCGCTGCCTCCGGATCCGGATGGGTGAGGGGCGCCACCACCGGGGAGTGCGACACCAAGCTGCCACCGCTCCCGCTCGCGCCCGCCCCACGCCCGTGAGGTGTAAAGATGGAGAGGGAAACGAGGATAATGATGAGGAGAGAGGTTAATGAGGATAAGGATGGGGAGGTGAGAGAGATGGAGAGAGATGATAAGGATGAAATTTTTGGTTGAGAGGGAAAAGATGTACGAGGAGGGAGGGGTATTTTCACGTGCGGTCCTTTTAAGAGGTATGTATGCGAAAATTGATTTTTACGTGTGGCCCTTTAAGAGGTTCGCCTGCAAAATATGCTATTTTTGTGTGCGGAACTGCAGATCCTTAAAAGGTCCTCTTAAGTGTCCGCATACAAAAATAGGAGGACAATTTTTACAGACGCGACCAGTTACATCCGTCTGCAATCTAAATAGTTTCTTATACAGGAAAATCCTTTTTTTAGTACTGAAAATTCTAACCCAAAACAGAAAAAAAAAATGCACAACGTTATTGAATAGTCCGGAAAACGATTGAGATCAAACATATCCCCCACCAAAAATTCTCATGCCAGATCGCGCACGCGTGCGCGACGCGCGGCCCGCCGCGCTGCGGGGTGCCGTCGGGGAGGGCGCGCGCCATCGTCTTGGCGACGTTCTCGGCGAGCTCCTCGCGGGACCCGGCGCCGAGGGCTTTGAGGAGCTCGCTCTGGGTGCGCCCGCGCGCGCCGGCGGCGACCACGGACAGCGCGGAGTAGATGGACAGCGGCGAGAGGACGAGGTTGCTGGGGCCGGCCTTGCTGGCGCCGCCGTTCTGCTGGACGCCGGCTGCGGCGAGGTGGTCGCCGCCGGTGGAGAGCTGCTTGGTGAGGCGCATGGACAGCGCCGCCAGGCCGGAGCCGGCGAACAACCGTGCCCATGCTTCCATGGAGGAGAATTCGGTTTTTTTACGTACGCTGAAAGGATTACACGTAATCTATCCGTGGATTATATGTATCGCACCTGCATGCATATAAGAGACACATATGTCGTGTTAAACACGGTAGGATTTGAGCTGTTTTGCGGTCATCCACTAGATGCCTCGTAGGGTACGTTTAATGGTACGTTTTTATGCCGTTGATGCTATTTAGCTCTATTTTCCATTCACTTGTAATTCGGTTAAATTTAGCGGAATTGCTAAATATTTGTTGACAGATTTTTTATGGCTAAATCTTTCACTTTCTAAACCGTTGGATGTGTCCTCTAGATTCATGCTAACAGTTTAATACGCATCAAGATATGTGCTTTTAGGAAGAAAAAGCAAACCATATTTAGGGATCGATCCTGTGACCTCATTGGGCTATTATATTTTTATGATCTAGTTTGAACTTACATCTTACTTATACTGTAATTACATGCGAGTTACATGCAAGTTACATATGTAATTATAGTACAAATATAATGTAATTATGAAAATTACATATTTAATTATAGTATAAACATAGTGTAATTATGTTACAGATACATTTGACAGATTTTTAGGCTAATTTTCAGTCCAATGTTGTATAGATAGTCCCATTTAGTAGTATGTGTTCCAAAAAAGAGCTATATCTACTCTCTCCGTAGTACAATATGATGGGAGTGGATTCTAATCCCTCGAGGGGATATCCCCTCGTATACCTTTTTTTTTTCCAAATTCGATGCAAATAGTTGTGAAAAATTCTGAAAAAAAATAACAACGTAGAGTATAATGATACCTATTAGTCCACCAAAATTCATGTTCAAATTCGATCTACACATCGAGAAACAAAAAAGACAAATTTAGATATAAACATTACGCTACTATTCATACGCTGAATTTGTCTTTTTTATATCTCGACGTGTGAGTTGAGTTTAGACTTAAGATTTTGGGAAGTTGTATATATGTGTTGTATGAATGTTGTATAATTTTTCCAGAATTTTTCATAACCGTTTAGATGGTTTTTGAGCAAACGAGGGAACATCCCCTCGAGGGATTAGAATAGTTTCCCCAATATGAAACACTCTCCCACACGGACGCCTGATGAAAGACAAAAAATATCAGACACTCTTAGATTTTTCGTACCACTCCCTCCGCCGCTCTGCATCGCTTCCTCCGTCCCCATTGCCTCTGCTGCGGCCACCAAACCACCACTTCTGCCTCCCCCTTCTCCAACTCCCATAACCCCAACCTCCGCCGCCCCTTCACCTTCCTCTGCCCGTCCCTACCACCACCGGTGGCGGCAACATGGGCTCAGGGTGACCATGGAAGAATATGACAGCATGAGCGTCTCATCGTGCCAGGCGCTGCAGGCATAGGAGATGGGCGGCTCGCCAGACGCGGACTCGTCGGCGAGATCGACCTCCATGACGCGATGGATGGACTCCGTGAGGTCATCGAGCGACGCCGCACCGTGCAGTGCGAGGAGCTCGTCGAGGGTGGTGCCCCTGGCCCCAGCCACCGCCAGTGCCAGCACGGCGTACAGGGACACCGGCGAGAAGACGATGTTCTTCTTGTTGTTGTTGCCGCTGCTGCCGCCACCGCCGGCGAGACGCTTCGCCAGGCGGAGCGCGAATGCCGTCATGCCGCGGCCGCCGGCGTCTTCCATGGTAGTCATGGTGATAGCTATTGATTGGATTGATAGTTTTCGTAGAAGTTGAATAACTATTTTCAACTTATTTTGTTCTTTTTGTTGCAACTTGTAGAAGTTAAATTTGGTCTTGCATAATTGTAGAGGGATGAAAATCCATATCCTATATATAGACGATGTTTTCGCGCTACTAATTTTGGACCCCCTGGCAAGCAACAATCTCCCTCGCAATTTTCAGGTTTTTTAGTAATTTTTATGAATTCAAATTTAGTAAAAATAGTTAAATTTCAAATATTTTCGTGTAAAAAAGTTTTGAAAAAACCGAAACTCGTGAAATTTTTGTTGACACTGAAATCACATAATTTTTTCCCTTCCTTGTTTGCACAAATCTTGAAACAAATCTAACAGTTCAAAATTATATAAAAATTACTCCCTCCGCTTTATATGATAAGTCATTTGATTTTTTTTCTTAGTCAAACTTTTTAAAGTTTGATAAGTTTGTAGAAACATATAGTGATATTTCAAATACAAAACAAATATTGTTTTAAAATATATTCA